GTTACTATTGAAACGGTGGCCCACTCGCTCGTCGAACGGTGGGTAGCAAACTTTGACTGTCCTTCAACTACTACTAAAGACCGTGTACGCCAGTTTAATCTTAGAATTTTCCATTGTTTTACTACACTGTTGGAAATCATACGGTCCTGCCAACCACCTACAAGCGAACGGGCTGGTAGACCGCTTTCACCACCAACTGAAAGCTTCACTATCAGCTGCAAACGTTTCACAGTAGACCGACGCTCTTCCACTTGTCTTACTAGGTATTTGCAATGAAGTGAAGGCTGACATTGGATCCACTGCAGCTCGACTCGTTTGTGGAACGACACTTCAACTTACAGGAGAATTCGTGGATACTTCATTTTCTTCAATGAACATGGATCTAAACTCCCAAACGAGAAGGCCTGATTTCACTCGACCGCAATCAACTGATGTTTTCATTCAACCCGACTTACAATATAATACACATGTCTTCGTACGTTGACTCACATCAACGACCTCTAGAATCAGCATACAGAGGACCATTCAAAGTTCTTCAGCGAGAACCTGAATACTACGGCACCAATGATAACAACATCATCGATCGAAATAAAGTGGCGTATTTATAGGGAAATCCTATGGACGTCGATTTTCTTTCGGTACAGTCAAAAGACATGACTCGCATACTTACGATACTGCGTCCGATAGACATCACTCAGTATCTGAAAATAGACTCAAAAAAACGCGTTTTGAAAGGAAAGTGAGATTTATGGAACATTTAAACGATTATTGCACGAAAGACACTGATCAATACCTTGTTTCATCTTGATTTTTCTTTGCTTTATACATAATATAAAAAACAATTTTACTATGCTTAAATTAATGCATTTATTTCAAATAAACAGAATTTTTTGGTAATATGCTCGCTCATATATGTATATTCAAAAAGATTTCAATTAAAGTCAAGACAAAAAACCATTCTGTAACAATCGTCAATCACTTCTTCGAATCTTATACTATATAGATAAAAGGCAACGAATTAAATGAGACGCAACGGGACAGCCTCAATAGCACAATATTATTAACTTATTGACGAATTCCATTTTGAAAAATGAAACGATATGTTTAGGCAAGATTTTTTTCGAATGACCATCATGCTTTGGACTACTACGTACGAATGTTCACGTACAAACGGGAAGATATTAAGCTAATCAAGGCAATTCATCAGTCATTGACCACAATGAAATAGATTGCATAACGACATAGAGTAGGTAAACGATGCAAATCGGTAATAAGAAGACATGTGTAGTAGTAGCGATGCCGATAACAAAATGACAGAAGTTCTAGTCAGTCGTTCAACATATGAATCAGACCAAACTTGAAGAAATAGGAATTAAATTATCGATCACAAACAAAACCCAAATGATAGGAAATGTTTAAGCAATTAGACAGTGAAGAAAGAGCAGTGTAAGGAGGTGTAAAAAAAATAAACAGATATGTTTTCAAGATTAATAAAATCGTTTATTAGACATAGCCAGATAAGAAAGGTACAATTGTCCCGGAGATTTCTTCTTAACACACAGAAGAGAGTTATGGTTTTAGATTCCTGTCGCTACTGCTACTTGTAAGAAACGGGATCAAACCACAACAAAAAACACTTCGTGCAGTTAATAGGACATTTTATATAGCCAATATTGCATTGAAATTTTCAAATAGATCAGCATTATCTACCCAAAAGAGGGAAAACTACTTGAGGTTGGTTCCTAATTTTACATCTACAGATCCATCTGCTTCCGTGAAGATAGTTACATTGGGTATACAACCATGTAACTTAACTAACGATTGAGTGAACACTCCCTGATCAGTGATAACTCATCATTTTTCAGTAGGGTTCGAACCCGTCTTCTACACACAGCAGTAATTATAAGGATCCGAAGCTATTGTTCTGATTTATGTATTAAAGGTAATTCGTGACACCCTTATCCCTACGTTGTCCGGAAATACCTTATAAACGGTTTTATTAATTCTTCACATTCTGTGTTTTTACGCCTTGCACCTCCCTCCATTTATATTCTTCTTCACCTAATAACTTCTTATCGTCTAATTTAACCAATATTTATGGTCACGATTATGGAATCTCTTTACATATCTTTAACCTACTTGGATCAAAAAATATAAGAGACTAGTTCAGCGGAGCGGAATTAAAGAGAATATAAATATGATACATCCTGTCTATTCCGTACTCAATCATTTGAACCATTTGACCCATTTGTCTAGCAAAGTTTGGAATTTGAATTTTACAAACTGAGGGGTTTACAAATTGTGCGTTACACAAAGGTTTGTGCATGAATACTATTGACAAAAGTATAATGTATTGACAGCCTTAAGTTAACCAATTGGGATTCAGATAATATCTCAGACATTTTGCGCGAAGTTTACAGTTCGGTGGCAAGTAACATGTATGTTGTTACCAACCAGGTTAAAATTGTCAATATTTAGTTCCTAAAATTTTTAAAATCAAAAATATCTGCTATTTAGTGAAGTGAATTTTAAATAGTACTGACATGTCTGCTCCTAAGGCAGATCGTGTGTCGAAGTAATTAGTGTAATGTTCTCCCTTCCCTACTCACTCAAAATCTCAACCCCAAGTCCCTCAAGTTTGTAAACAAGAAGTTCGAAAGATATTGTATCGTTAATCATGTCAATTTGTACTTCAAAATTTGCCCTCAGTTTGTAAACCCTAACTCAAAACTTCAGTTGAACTCTTAATACCTAACCCTAACCTTTTTAGATTGTAACCTGTCATTTGGTGACAAAATTTCTCTTAAGTGATAAATTTAGCTGAAGCTACTGGTTTGACTCCTGAAGTATGTATGTGTGAACTCTCTTTCCTCTTTATTAAAAAGGAAATTTTGGCTTGTGTTGATTAATTATTACGATCAAAGCTGTTTTTCCACTTACCTCACTATTTTGTATTGTTAACTGTTTCATGACGGCGTTTTCCAATTGTCTAGTAGGTCTTCAGTATTCTATAAATTTGCCTAACAATCAGTATTAGTTTATAATTGCACTAATCAATGACGCTAAGACGTATTGGTCTTGGTTTTATATTTACGTAAAATTTCTCGATCTTTCGATATTCCATTTAAAGTACTCCAAAAGGCAATTTAGAATATGTCGACTATAAAGCATTACTTGTATGAAGATTATCTGCTTGTTAAATACCATCTGATGAAACTAAATTTACCATATCTATAAAATATTTAAGTTCTGTTCCTGCCTGATTCCGGTTGATCTTTTGTGTTAAACATTTTTGTAAGGTGGCTTAAGTAAACGATCCTCTAAGAACAATGTTTTAAGAATGATCGAAGTTTTCCACTATTGTTTGGTCTTGCTATGCTTATCAGTTTTTAGTTTTATTGACTAAGTGGTGAAAATCATAAGCACCTAAAATATGATATATATATATATATATATATATATATATACATATGCATCGGTATAAATTGCCTCATCATAGCATCACAGTGTGGTAAATTTATAAAGACTAATTCTATAGTTGTAGAAATAGTACCACTGATAGTAGAAAATATTAGGCATAGATAGTGTTATTCGAGAGGAATAAATGATTTCACGAAACTAAAAGTACAAGACAGTTTTAGTACCCAAAGTCTAGAGTATGACAAGGAGTGAATGCATCTGCTCCATTGTAACCTATCGATCACGTTAAACCAATTCATGATCTTACACATACTTTATTCCGAATTTTTTTATTCAAAAATTTAACATCCTCAACAATAAAGCCTCAATTTCGAATGTGTATTACGCTAACTAAACCATTCGATCTGTATTATTAAGGGAATGTCAAAATTTCACTCTGTTTTAAAAGTAGAATCTATACCTGTAACCCAATTGGCTCTACTTATGTTATTGCTTTCAGTAAGATCCCTTAGGTTCTTGTGTTTGACCAAAAAAATTGACAAATGACATTGCAGTCTAGGGTGGAGCTACTTCTATGGTGCATAACTTGTAAGATGAGACTAGAAGGTTTCTGTACTCCTCGTACATTTTGAATGCAGTCACAAACCATCTTGTTGAATCGTACAAACACACTTAAAACATGCTTGTTCTTCAAGAATGGGAAGTTAAAATCCCCTTTCAAATTGTATGGGGCCTGTACATATCTTACGAAAATACTTTTGCTAAGACTAACCTAACATTCCTTTTGATGTTGATGGCACCAGTTAATTATAAAGTGTAGTTCTCTGTCGGTGTAAGCTTTAATGTCACTTATTTCTGTTTAGTGGACCAATTAGCTAGATGTTATACTAGCATTACTAAATGCATGTTATGGTTGTATATAGTCGGGCACAACTTTATACACAAAGGCAATCTCATTTGTCGCGAAGTTATCTACAAAAACCTCCAAATTCACATACCCGAAATTCCCATAAAATATAGTCGTCTATAAATTTTTTTATCGATTATGTTCTCCCAGATATATTTTTGCGGGGTCGCTCTATTGCTTTGTGGATTAACGTCCCAATCAGTAAGGCTAAGCTTTAAAAACACCATGTCCTCTGTTTGCCTCACTTGGGCACCACTTTTACAATTTGATACAAGTTCGTTTTCCCTTTTATTATCTCAATTCTTCCTTCTGGATAAATAAATGAAAGTCAGCTAAGGCAAGTGAAGAATGTGGTTATGGTGCTTTACGAAACTGTATTTGTTCGAGATATTTTCCCCGGGACAGACTTGAAACAATGTTTGTTAACGAAGTAACATCTAATAGAGATAATATATATACCAGTAACTAGTTTCTTTTACTGTGATCGTCATTGTAGTTCAACATCCTGAATAATATATTTTACTATTATCTTCCAGCTTATTCTTAAATTTCCCAGTAGCCATCGTCTTAGGTTTTACGTTAGACTGTATTTACAACAAATATTCTCTTTTTATAGCCTTTACTGCAAAAAGAAAAGCTCACACACTGATTTTTCTATTCATTTGTTTTGGCGATGGAGAGTAAATCTGAAAACAAGCATAATGATATTGAACTGATTCAGTCGGATATTTCAAAGACCCATCAAGCACCTTTTGGTGAAGACAATGAATATATAGTCAATAAAGATACTGACAGTATTTTAAAAAACTCCACTAATGAATCGAATAAAAAGTGGCGATTTGAAGGTGTAAATATAGTTGTATTGTCTGTGATAGTCTTATCGACTGCTATAACTATAGCTTTAATTTTCAGCATTATTTTTGGAAAGCCTCAGGTAATGCTTACTTTGAACTAATTAATTGTAAAACGAAGGTCGTACCTCAGGGTGCTGTTGCAGTTGATGATGATTTGTGTGGTCAAATAGGCTTAAATATAATGCGAGAAAACAAAGGGAATGCTGTTGATGCGATGGTATCTGTTATGTTATGCTTAACTGTAACTCGCCCTGATGTTGCAAGTAAGTCTTATTTAGTAATTGCTACCTTATATTTTTATCAGTTTTATAGAATCAGAATACATAACTGATTTAATCCGTCTCATCTGTTTTGCTATTTAGAATTTCAAATACGACTTGAATATTATTCAGTATTTATTCGTTTTTATCATCCTATTGTAATTTTCCCTCTGATATTCTATGTTTGGCGGTTCGTAGTGTTGAACATTGGCAAATGTTATTATTGTATTGTTTAATGCGTCACTCCACACTTTTTCTTACTTTAGTGAGAACCACTGACTATCCATGTTTTAAGATTTCACTTAACATATTCCTTTCCTCTAAAATGATTTTGTTAACTCTCGTCATAACAGACAGGAAATGGACGAAACCAGGTATATACGGCGAAGGGTCTGGTGTAAATTTGCATAAACTCAAGTTGCTACACTTCTTAGCTACATAATAGGAGAAAAAATAACGGTTAAATAGACTATGGAGAGGAAAATTTACTACGAACAGCAGACATAAATTATGGTAACTCTCAATTACGATTCGGGAAATATACGTTTCCGGACATAGTTCAGAATATTAGTCAGTAGTTGAATAAATTAGTGGCATGTTTTGGTTTGGTAATTTTTAAGCTTTTTCAATCCACTCCTTTTTACTAGTTACTATAGCTCAATGGAGTGGGGTACAAATGAATTTAAGCAACACCCATCCTCCAACTGCTTTCACTGATGAAAGTCCGAGACCTTATCAATCCGCTAGGAAATTGGCTGATATCTAATGTAAACAAAATAGAGCGCTGACTATTATATGTCCCAACTAGGTTCATATGAGAATGTTCTGACTGGTTCATGTTTAGTTATCCGGAGCTTGTTACACAAATCAAGGTGCTAGGAGATTCTTATGTAATTTTTTAAAAATACTTGGATCTTTGTTCTGGTGTAGTGGAATATATAAAATTTCCTCTCAATCCTCCGTCGAATTCGCCAAGTAAAGTATATTGCCCACGAAATACTAGACATTAAAAGATTATGACAAAGCGCTAGCTAAATCCATAGAATTTCCAGTAAATTTCGGGAACAGGCCTTACTGTCCGTATATCCCAGTTATGTTGATTTTTGAGTTAGCGTTTTTGTACGTTATTTCTGGTTAGCGTTTTTTTAGCGAGTTGATTTTCTACGGGATGGGGTCGCTAACCCCATGCCCAACCCTCTTCCTTTACCCGGGCTTGGGACCGGCAGTAAACCCCAGAGGAGCTACAGGCGGAGTTTACGTTATTTCATTAAGTAAAATAATCTATTTAATTGGTCAATTTTGAAGTTCTACAATATCAGTCCATTTAGAGAGAGAGCTCTGTCTAAGTAATTGCTTTTCTGCGTAAGCGGTCACCTTTCGATTATTCCACGTTAGTTTAGATAACCTAGTGCATAATGAAGAACCCAATTCTTCTAAACAGTATGTGGCTAAAAATCGATTATAGTATGGTCTGCCTATATCACTTCAATTTCAACAGATTAAACTTTCGTTAATTAAGGTTTTCAAATAAATTTTATGGGTGTTTTTGTTCATATTATCACGTCATTGAGTAAAAACAAACAGAACAAATCTATTGAGACATGAAACAAGGGAGTGTGTTTATTTAGTTAGCCAAAAACATACTTTTCTATGATTCTACTTTTGGAGTTGTATACAAGCGAGAATAAAATCTTTGCTAGAATTTGTTGACTTTCGCGTGTTAAACTTTATATATTTACAGTGTGTAAAATTGTATTTCATATTGGTTTATGACTTAGAACTAGATCTCAGTAATAAGAAGTAGAATTATTAATCACACTTTATTTATTTAAATACATAAATATTGGTACAAGGAAACACCAGATACATATGCGTCGCACAAATCTCATTCGATTTGTGTGAGAGCTTGGCTACTGACCGGGTGCGCAAACCGAAACAGGTGGTTTTCTTAGGGAGTCACACCCAGAGCCTTTGACCTAAAGATCTGATCCACAAGGTAGTGGAGCATTGTAAGGAGATGCAGTCCCATGGTAGCCGGTGACCAACGATTGATCCATACACTATTTGTTCCTTTAGGATACTGGAGCCCATGTGCACCATTGGTATGGAATCAGGGTTTCCCAATTCCTCTAGGTGGATTCTCCGTCTCCACCAACGCAGTTAAAGGGCCAGACATTCTCTTCTCGTCCTCTCACTTTCGTGAACAACACCTGTGGCACGAGAAGGCAGTGAGTTATACTATTAAAATAATACTATTAAAATGATTCATTTTCTGTAATGCTAATAAATTCCTATCAGTGATATCTTTGCCGTTAAGTGTATCTTTTCTGTTATATTCAATATTATTCAATATCAACTATTCTACATTTAACTTTTAACCATAGGTTTAGGTGGATGTGGTGCTGTACTAGTTCGTGATCGTAATAAACAATTAAGTCATTTATTTGACTTTACTTGCCCTGTTCGTAATAGTGCTACAGAACAAGATAAACCAGATAAAAATAAACCTGCTAGTTTAGTAGGTATCCCATCTCTAATACGTGGTCTTGTAGTTATGCATCAACGATTTGGTTCATTAAAATGGTCAGATCTTTTCACTGGTGCAATTGATTTGACTAAAAAAGCTTTCATGGTAAGATCTGCATCAATTTTATTTTACAGTAAATGTATTTATAATTCTACTCTGGTGTTGTTGATGATGATAATTTACTTACAAATGAAAACATTTTTTTCCTTCAACTTGATACATTGGTGATTGATAAAATCTCTACCTGAATATTAAAAAACTCGCTTTGTTTTAAAAGATTTGCTTCACTTATGGCACAAACAATATGTCTGTGTTCTCACCAAGAAACGGGAACACTGCACAGGAGTTCACTCTGTGTCGATGTATGGTTGTAAAATTTGAGATGGTAACTCAGCTGGGTGATTTTGATGTGAGTTTGTTCTCTGAGCTGGATGATTTGGTCGTGAAGCTTTCATCGTCCTTCTAAACGACATCATCAGCACAAACTTTGGGTAGAAGTAAAGTGTTTGAATTTCTCAACATGTGATTCACAGCTTGTCCTGTGCACCTCGATGTTGATTGGTTCTTATTGACCTTAAACCTGTCATTGTTTATTTCTTTGTTTTGGTATGTAAAAGTTTCAACTATTCGAACATGTGTTTTCTGAACCTTACTTGTCTATGGTAGAACCATTTAATTGAATGATAATGAATTTAAGCATTGTAGCCTCAGGTAAGAACAGTAAGTCAATCGATGGTGCTTTAAATATACACCGACTGACATGGTTAGAACATTTGTTATACAATCATACATACCGCACACTCTGAGGGTTAATTCGGGTTCACGGAGTCGATTTGAAGACAGATTGTAATAAACCATAGAAGATATAATATCAGACCTGTTATGAATTGACCTAGGCTGTAGCCAATTGTTATGTCTTGATCAAGGCCGTAGCTAATTGTTAGGACTTATTCAAGGTCGTCGCTGGTTTGTTATGACCTTACAAATTAAACAAGGACGTAACTTGCGTGAATTATCCGCCAATAGAAATACAACTTCTACGACCTTCACACTGTGACAACAACGTTCGATTAGTATGAGTAATCTAGCGTCCTTATTAGTCCTTAATCCGCCTAGCCCGTCCACTTGAGACCAGAACACCAATAGGAGCCTCGGCAATATGAATCGTTTATTTCAAGCATACTTTGTTTATATATCAGACAGACAGGCCACATCATACCATAAAATAAAAAATAATATTTGTACAAAACCAAGCCAAATGAAGCTGTAAGCGTGGAAGACAATAATCAATAAAACTGAGTATAACTTAGGAACAGTAAATCATACAATAATAATCAGTAGGTCAAAATGAAGCTTACAATAAGATGAATATAGATATAGATAATCTAGTTACTGAATAGTTATACAATAAGAATAATAGTCCAATAGTAGGTCCTGCAAGTTACCCGTACTTATGTCTTCGCTACTACATAACAAGACCACGTGGCAAATAACTGTTAAACTTAGCTATATCATTAAGTTCAGGGTACCCTTTTCGGATTCCCGAAATAATGGTTATCTGTGATCAGAAACATTGTTTGGCATTTGTTCTTTATGTTTCTCTAAATGTTGAGGTTTGTTCCTTCCCATGCTTTTCATTATTTGGTTTCAGTTATTCGTTTCCTTTAATTTAGATTTCTTTTGCCTAATTTCTCATTGTAATAGATATTATTATCACTATAATGTATCCTTCTTCTACTTGTTACTTTTCCCTATCACCCTCTTTTCTTGTAATGCCTCACAAATTGGATTGATAAATACTCGTGCCAGATCCTATATTCTGTATTAACGGTTGACTAATAATTATTTTCTCTCATTTTATTAACTCATGTATCAGGTACAAATTCATATACTTGATTTTCACCTGTACTATGATTATAGGGGCTAGTGATACCACCCTGTTGATAAGGAATATTGTCAGTAAGGGATTGTGGTGATTCAATAAGCAATATGAAATAATACTAAAACTCTAAGTTTGTTTCACATAGTTTCCAATTGAGAAGTCTATTTATTTATTTAAACACGTAAATATTGGTACAAAGGGTCACCATATACATATGCGCCGCACAAATCTTATTTGATTTGTGTGAGCGCTGTGATACTGTCCGGGTGCCCGAACCGAAACAAGTGGTTTTCTTAGGGGGCCACACTCGGAGCCTTTAACCTAAAGATCTGATCCACAAGGCAGTGGAGTATCGTGAGGAGATGTAGTTCCATGGTAGCCGGTGACCAACGATTGATTCATACGCCATTTGTTCCCTCAGGATACTGGAGCCCATGTGCAGAAGTCTACACTCCTGGATATGGTTCAGAACTAATACTTGACCTCATGAGTTGCTATCATATTTTAATTTGTCGCTTCAAGCCTTTACCAAACTTACTCTTATGTCATTCACTGTTTCACTTTTGATTAAGACATTGACTGGAATACTCTGTTGTAAATACCCTCAACTAGTTTTAATCAATGAAAAAGCACAATTCTATCAACTGGCTAATTATTTTTACATAGTGAGATAAGATAGTGGTTGGAGGTGGTCAACAGAAAACCCTGGACCCGGGTTTCGTGCTACTTGGCACTCGTCAGCAAAATGTACCTGTAATCTTGAGGGAACTGGTGCTCCCTGACGGATCCGATCCCGTTTCACCCAGCTTCACATTCAGAAACGTTACCACTGAGCTATTCGGGCCGCGACCGACCTCCTGTAGGACTGAGATGTAATCACAACTGATTGATCACCATCCAGTGATCAACCAGCTGTGATTTTTACATACAGCTCCACACCTACCTACCCAGCTTTATTCGGTTAATCAAATACAGTCTTTTAGGTAGCATAAATAATGATTGCTCTCCTAATGTTTTATATTTTTTCTGAACCATGGGAATATAAAACTGCTTCGCGAAATGTAATTACGAATTATTTTGTTATCTATCAAATAATGAAGCCATTTACATGCCATTTTTGACTTATATAAAAGTACAGTGGCGTATACAGTCTCTGTCAGGGATGTCCTACTCATTGTCTTCTCGCAGCAGGGGTGTTGTTTACGAAATTGAGAGGACAAAAAGCGAATGTCCGGAGCTTTAACCGGATTGGTGGACACGGAGGGTCCACCTAGAGGAATTGGAAAACCCTAATTCCAAATCCATGATGCACATGGGCTGCAGTATCGTAAAGGAACAATTGGCGTACGAACCTATTGTTGGTCACCGACTACCATGGAACTGCATCTCCTGACATTGCTCCACTGCCTTGTGGATCAGACCTTTAGATCAAAGGCTCCGGGTATGGCCCCCACAACCTATTTCGGTTTACACACCCGGGCAGTATCATGGCCCTCACACAATTAATGAAATGACAATTCTTTGTGTGACGCATATATATCTGGTGCCCCCCTGTACCAATATTTATGTGTTCAAATAAATAAATAACAGTGGAGAACTAACCGATCAATGGTCATCATTCTGTGTAAATGTAAAATCAACTGTTTCATAAAACTAAATCTTTCTGTAAACTGTGCGAAATATTTAGTTTTAATAATACAATTTCGTAAAAATCACATTAGTAGTTTATTGAGGGTTTTTAATTTCCCTTTCTTGATTTTCAAGATTATAACCGACTAATTTCTGCAAGATACATGGATCTTGAGGGGGGGTTCCTGAGATTTCCATATTATATTAAACGTATAATTTTGAATAGAACAATTGTCAGCATTATTGTATGGTGTGTGACTAGCAGCTGAACCCAAAAACATGGATTTCATTCTGTTTGGAGATTGTCAGTTGAATATACCTCCACATCCCAGTATCGATGTGTTACACTAGTAATTGGACACAATACCTTTCTCATCAAACATCCAACGCATTATTCACTAAACTATTGAATCCAGATAACCACTAGGTTATATGAAAATGCACAAACCAAATTCCACCACTAACCACATACTAAATATACTGGGGCAAGAAAAACATCATTAAATAAAGATCTACAGTTTTATCAATCAGTTTAATTTGTTTCTTTTCTTTTTTGCATGGTTGAAAGCATGAGTCAAATGAAGCTAGACCACCAAGGAAAACCTGGAAATACTGAACGGCCGTTTCGTCCTGTTGTGGGACTCCTCAGCGGCAGTGCGCATCCACGATCTCGCCTCGCGAGATTCAAACCGAGGACCTACCAGTCTCGCTCCAGAGCACTTAACTGATTAACCACTGAGCCGGCATCCGATGGTGTTAATGTCTAACTTCAACCAATCCACGAAATTGAGCAACCATTCACCAATTATCGTCAGTGAGTTCCTATCTCATAACAGACATGGTTTGAACTCCACTAGTCACTACTTCTCACTAGAACTTCCTTTTGTTTTATGAAAGTGCAAATTATTTACTATAAAGAATCACTTATTTAACTATATAGTTAACTTCTTCTCTTCTTTTCCTCTTAATTCTATATTAGCCTAGTAAATCTTTAATTGAAGCTGCAAATAAAATGAAAACATTAAATTCACCAGATTTTTTAAAACCAATTTTAAATCAATTAATAGATGAAAATACTCCATATACTCCATCAGTTGAGTTACGTAATACATTAGAACATTTAGCTAATCAACGTGATGGATATTTTTATAATACAAATGCAAATACATTCAATAGACAATTTGTTAATTATATGAAACAACAAGGATCTCAATGGTCATTAGAAGATTTGAACAATTATACAGTTGATCGTCCAAATGCAATCAAAGTATGTTGTTGTCTTTCTCTATCTTTGTTTATCTTTTCATTTACCTTACAATTTTAATATCGAAATGATAGCAATCGATGGTTAGAGACCTTGATTGACATCATTGTTCGAAATCGTTTGCAATGGTGAAGATGCATCCACTTTTTGTGTTCTACCAAATTCTAATCTTCTGAATTCTTCATGTCTCTATCTTTTTTATTCTCTTTTCAATTTTATTTCACTGGATTATACTGTTTCAATAACATCTTCAAATCCTAATCTCTTTTCGATTACTGCTTATACTCTTATTAATTCTACCACTATGTTATTTTAATCAACAACTGCATCTCTGTGCTAATGTGGTATGGCAACTCGAACTAATGTACGTACGTACTTACGAAGTTCTACGTTGTGACTGACTGACTTTAGTATCGAAAGTTTTACTAATTCCTTTTACTTTTTTATCTCATAACTCATATCTTGTCTTTAGAATGATATTTTTTAAATTTTGTCTGTTATATAAGCTTGTAGTGATTAATGTGTTGATCCACTATTGTCTACTGTTTATGCGGAAAGATATAAGAAGTGCACAACACACCATAGTTCATTTATTCATGTTTTAACAATTGAATAGTTATGATGATGTAACTTACATGTTAATACATGAATTTGTGCAGAAATAATAATGATAATAAAGTCGGGCCACCAAATGCCCTGGTACGGTCGAGAGTGGGGAGAGTCTGCTCTCCTTCTCGAAATGCTCTCACATGGCCACGCGTATATAGCCTCTGCCAAGGAAGTCCTACTCACTGCCTTCTCGTGGCGGGGGTGTTGTTTACGAAATTGAGAGGACGAAAAGCGAATATTCGGTGCTTTAACTGGGTTGGTGGACACGGAAAGTCCACCTAGGGGAGTTGGAAAACCCTGATTCCAAACCAATGATGCACATGGGCTCCAGTATCGTGAAGAAACAAATGGCGTATGAACCAATCGTTGGTCATCAGCTTCCATGGGACTGTATCTTTTGATGTTGCCCCACTGTCTTGGTGTGACCCCCTAATAAAACCACCTGCTTGGATTTGGGCGCCCGGGCAGTAACATAGCCTGCACATAAATCAATGATATCTGCTACTGGCCTCATTATTATTGTGTGGCACATATTTATTTGGTGCCTCTTTGTACCAATGTTTATGTGTTCAAATAAATAAAGTCGGAAGAGATATATTTATTTTGTCATTTATAACTTAAGCTTAATTGAGTGTCAATTATTGTATGGTCTATAAATATCATTTTACGCCATAGTTATATGTTTAATGTATAAATTCGATTACAATCATCGCCTGGTTTCTTCAGCAGAGTCGACGAAAAGGGAAGTATACCTGACTACTGTAATGGCTTCGCTTGAATTTTACAGGAATTAACTTCAGTTTAGAGATTGTTAGTTTTTTTAATGCATAAGCTTGTGAGAATACATTTGGTGAATAAACATAATATTAGTCATTTAAGAGAAAGCAGGAAGAATTTATTACATTATTTGCACAGTTGGAAAGAATCTTATCAGGTTATAAAACACTAAATAGCTGTTTCATTCTATTTCGGAACGCTTGAACAGACCCTAGCTACGATCTCCCACACCACATTAAATTCTGGATCATATTAGACTCAGCAGGCAGGCTACTGAATCTTCACCTATTTCAATCAACTTTAGATATTGTACAGCCCTCGCCCTAATGCTAACAATGATATCTCTGTCATTCCCTAGTTTAGTCAAATTCCACCAGTCACGGGTTGATACTAGAATTTCGAGAATTCATGTAAAAGCTAGTTACTAGTGTGTGTATTACTACAGAATTGAATGTGGTATGTAGAGATTGTCCAGAATCGAGGTAGTTTGTATCAGAGATTGACTTCAGCCCAAAAACAGTTTCACTACTTTGTAAGCAAAGATGGATGGTGGCCAGCAGTGGAATTCAGGACGCGCGTTTCGTCCTATTCGGGACTCGTTAGCTGGATGTACCTGCATCTCAGAGTTGATGTTCACCCTGGGACTCGAACCCAGTACCTTTCGCTTCAAACGCCATCGCGTTATCCACTCGACCACTGAGTCCTGATAGCCACTTGCTTGTGCGATGAAGTTTCACTACGTGTTTGAATTTGGATTCCAACCCCAGTGTTCTATAAGTGTATAAGTAGTAACTTCAGTAGTCATCTAAATGAAAGTGAGTTCATGGTAATAACTTTCACTGAATTAAAAATACCTTGGCAGATACCAGATGAATAGTCTGGGATATTGAAACGTTATCAACCTACAATTTTAATTCACAAGGTACTCATATGAGAACCAATACCCTCACCATTTATTCAGACCTGTTTTTGATTGATCACCTAATATTCTTTGATTGTTCCGTTGTACTACTTAAAGTTGGATTAATTTTAATTTGGTTATTTATTCTCTGAAGAAGTGGCTTACACTGAGTCACGAAACGTCAGAAAATCTAATTTTTCTACTCATTGGGATATTACAAATATATTATTTATTTACAATACCCTCACCGTTTCGACTGATGATCGATATTCATTATATTGTATATTTATATACTTTTCTTTAAATTACAATAATTTCTATGTTTTTCTATTCAGATGGGTTTCGCTGGCTTCACACTGGAATCATTTCCACCTCCACTAGTTGGCGGTCCGTACATTCTACTGTTACTGGGCAATTTAGATCTTAAAGATACACTCACTCCACTTGATCATCGAGCATTACTCAACCAAGATCCAATTGTAACTACTATCTACTTGCATCGTCTTATGGAATTGGCTCGTTTAGCTGAAGCATCAGCTACTACACTTGGAGATCTGAGTGATCCTACAATAAGTATGTGTATATATTTACCCACTTTTGTTGTGTAACAACACAAAATTACTACCCAGTAGTAATACAATTTGGTTTCAAGTAACTAACACAATGTTGCTTGATTTGTCAGTCAGTCAGTTAGTCACAACGTAGAACTTTGTAAGTACGTACATTAGTTCGAGTTGCCATACCACATTAGCACAGAGATGCAGTTGTTGATTAAAATCCCATAGTGGTTGAATTAGTAAGAGTATAAGCAGTAATCGAAAAGAGATTAGGGTTTGAAGATGTTATTGAAACAGTATAATCCAGTGAAATAAATTTGAAAAGAGAAAAAGGATAAGGACGTAAGGAATTCAGAAGATTAGAATTCGGGAGAACACAAAGGGTGGATACACCTTCACCATTGGAAAAAAATTTTGAGCCATGTCATTCAAGGTCTCTAACCATCGATTGCTATCATCTCGCGAATCCCAACCAGGTAGTCTACACCTACCAGCATGGCTCTGTCCACTTGTCAGTGACTTCATGGATTTGTGCCAAATCACTCAGATTTTTAAATTTCCTAGTCATATATATATATATATATATGTACATATATATCCGCTTTTGTGTCTGTCTCTAACAGACAGTTTTATTTTTCAGAAATATTGCTCATTCTGAACTTTTTCGGGTAACTGTAACTGAAGTCTTAACTCTTTTTATTGCCTTCCACCATTTTTGAGTTATTTCTTTGCCGCTGCTGATATGTGATGTGGTAATTTGGACCACTGCATGTTTGCACCAGGTCCCATACATCGCTTTATTCGTCCTCAAATAATAATTATTATTATTATACGGTTACTACTATTACTCTAGCATGTCTATGTGATTCACATAGGATTGGATAAATTTCCTTTATGTATGACGTAGATTTGTACAGTGTACAACATAATGGTTACAACAACTATTAGCCAACTGATCGTAGGTAAGCAATGGTTATAAACTTTTAAGTAACTATTATTGTCTCTCGTAAAATACTCGGGTAATTCCAAGCTAAGAAACAGATGCTGTGTGTAGAGTTCTCATTTTTATACTATCGTTCATTGTGCATGTGTGTGCCGTTAATCCTACCGAAAACTTTTACTTTCATTTGTTAAGCATCTGTTGAATGAAATAATTATTATTCCTGAAAATAAAACTTTTTTGATTGATGGACAGTTCTTTTTACTTAGATGTAGCAGCTTCATCTGCTATGGACACTATCTTCTCAAAGTCTGCACGTGAAGCCACTGTAGCTAGTGTTCTAGATGACCGTGTGGTAAAGGAACATTCACAACAAGATGTCCTCAAAACAACTTCCGTAAGTTAAATATGTTAGCAGGTAAATTTCTTTATGTGTCATCAGTGAATTAGTTCTATATGTACTTCTCAGTTCAGTTGCTTCTTGACATTTTTGAATCCCCTGAACTCGTATACTTAGTATTTTATTACTTTCTCGTAAATGCGAATTTCTAATTTTTCGCGCTAAAATTCCTGACGTTAGATATCCTCCATTTTTATCGCTGCGAAAGACACTTTTCCTATCTGTTTGCTGATCTGTTTACCGTACTTTATGTTATAACTTGTGGTTTTGTGCCCCGATTAGTATATGATGTGACGATGCCGCCAATTAGAGAGGAGTGAATTATCAATCGAACAAATGACACACGAAAGCTGCACGAGCAGTCTAGAGTACTTGTCAGTCCTGCTATCTGCTTAGTCCACCCAGTTAAGTCCAGAACACTAATAACGGCCTATGCAATATGAATCATTATTTTCAAACATACTGGGTTTATATATCAACCAGACAGACCACATCGTACCATAAAATAGGAAACAACATTTGTACAAGATTTAGCCAAATGTGGCTGTGAATGTGGGGAACAGTAATTAATAGACTGGAGATAACTCAAGAATAGTAAATTATATAATAATAGTTCATAAGTCAAAATAAAGATGAAATTGCGACCTTCTACTGCGTACCTAAAAATGTTTGATGGCGCAGTAGGCTGCTAGCAGTTCACAACCAAAAGCGCTGTATCTCGTCTCCGTAGGAGTGAGCCGTCGTGAGAAAAATTCGAGGGATTGCCAACTCTCGGAGATATTCTGTTGCATAACGGCTCCTATGGCGAAATCCGTTGCATCAACCGTTATGCTAAGTGTGGCTGATGGGTCAGGATGAGCGAGGAGTGTCGTTTGAGCTAGGGCCGTTTCGATCACTGAAAATGCAGTACGCGCGGAATCGTTCAATTCCGGTTTGCGTGGATTACCGCGAAGTAAGTCGGCTAATGGTCGTAACCGTTCTGCCACGTGCGGGATGAAGCGTCAGTAGAATTTGACAAGACCGAGAAATGCCTTCAGTTCCTTGAGTGTGGACGGTACAGTGTACTCCATTATTTTACGTACTTTATCCTCACAAGGTAGAATACCCTCTTGCTTAATAACATGACCTAATAATTTTATTTCCGTTCTCCTAAGTTCACACTTGTCGGGGTTGACTATTATTCCGTTATCCGAAAGGCGCTGGAATAGTAGTGTTAGGTGCTGATAATGTTCATCTACGTTTGATGATGCGATTAACAGGTCATCAATATAGACGTGAACAGAATCTAGGTCTCGTACTATGCTATCGATAAACCTTTGGAAAGTTTGAGCAGCAGTCCGTAATCCAAATGGGCTTTAAAGCTAACAAAAACGCGTAACAAACCTCGGGTGTATTTCATTCACGTGACTATTCATTCCGAGCATTAAACGTAGTTACATGTTTCGATAGCTACCCCATCCCCCACATACATGACATCAGGGCATCACTCAAGGCCACGACTATTTTTTTCCAAGCTCGATCTGGTACGAGCATATCACCAGATCCCAGTCGCTCTTGAAGACATCGAGAAAACTGTTATTACGACTCCTTTCGGTCTGTTTGAGTTCTTACAAATGCCATTTGGATTACGGACTGCTGCTCAAACTTTCCAAAGGTTTATCGATAGCATAGTACGAGACCTAGATTCTGTTCACGTCTATATTGATGACCTGTTAATCGCATCATCAAACGTAGATGAACATTATCAGCACCTAACACTACTATTCCAGCGCCTTTCGGATAACGGAATAATAGTCAACCCCGACAAGTGTGAACTTAGGAGAACGGAAATAAAATTATTAGGTCATGTTATTAAGCAAGAGGGTATTCTACCTTGTGAGGATAAAGTACGTAAAATAATGGAGTACACTGTACCGTCCACACTCAAGGAACTGAAGGCATTTCTCGGTCTTGTCAAATTCTACTGACGCTTCATCCCGCACGTGGCAGAACGGTTACGACCATTAGCCGACTTACTTCGCGGTAATCCACGCAAACCGGAATTGAACGATTCCGCGCGTACTGCATTTTCAGTGATCGAAACGGCCCTAGCTCAAACGACACTCCTCGCTCATCCTGACCCATCAGCCACACTTAGCATAACGGTTGATGCAACGGATTTCGCCATAGGAGCCGTTATGCAACAGAATATCTCCGAGAGTTGGCAATCCCTCGAATTTTTCTCACGACGGCTCACTCCTACGGAGACGAGATACAGCGCTTTTGGTTGTGAACTGCTAGCAGCCTACTGCGCCATCAAACATTTTTAGGTACGCAGTAGAAGGTCGCAATTTCATCTTATTCACCGACCATAAACCCCTAACGTATGCTCTGCATGCCAAGTCTGACCGCTACTCACCACGAGAGTGCATTCATTTGAACTATATCTCTCAGTTCACGACAGACCTTCATCACGTCAAAGGCGGGTCGAACTATGTTGCCGATGCTCTGTCACGTATCCAAGTGAATGCAGTTACTTTGCCAGTGTTCAGTCTATCTGCTTTGGTCGCCGCCCAAGCAAATGATCTTTCATGCACAGAAGGACAACAGCCTAGGTCTTTTCAGTACCAGGAATTACTTTTAGATACTAGCTCAGGTACTACTCTATGCGATACTTCTACGGGTCTCCCCCGACCCATCGCACCCTCTGCTTACCGTCGTCTCGTCTTTGATGCCCTTCATGGTCTATCTCACCCAGGTATCGCAGCCACACTACGCCTCATTGCTAGACGATACGTCTGGCCATTCATGAATAAAGATGTCCGTATGTGGGTAAAGCAATGCTTACAATGTCAACGATCAAAAGTGCACAGGCACGAATCCGCCCTCATTGGCACTTCCGCTACGCCTGATGCTCGCCTCGATCACGTTCATATAGACGACAATTGGTACGAAACTTTACCGCTCGTCCACTTGGGTATGTGTATACTACTCCATATCCCTGACATTTAAGACCCGCGTGTGGCCCCCTAAGAAAACCACCTGTTTCAGTTTTTGAGCACCTGGACAGTATCACAGCCCACTAAATATAACGAAATGATTTCGATTGTTCTATCAAAATTGTTTACATTCAAATCAAATGAACAGCTTAACAAAAGCTTTTTTTTCTTCTCTTAAGATTGTTATGAAATAGTTTTCATTTTTAATGTCCCAAAGTACTATATACCCAAACAAATTTCTAACTTTACTCTAAAGGTAGATAAATTCAAGTATTTATAGTCATTTTTGCAGGGGAGTAATAAATATCACATTGTCTACTAAAGTAAAGAGTAGAATTTAATGCTCTCACATGGCCACGCGTATACACCTACTGACAGGGAATTCCTACTCATTGCCTTCTCGCAGCAGGGGTGTTGTTTACGAAATCGAGAGGTCGAGGAGCAAATGTCCGGCGCTTTAACCGGATTGGTGGACACGGAGGGTTTACTTAGGAGAGTTGGAAAACCCTAATCCCAAAGAGATTGTGCACATGGGCTACAGGATCCCAAAGGGAGAAAAGGCGTACGAACCTATTGTTGGTCACCGGCCACCATGGGACTGCATGTTATAACGATGATCCACTTTCTTGTGGATCAAACCTTCAGATCGAAGGCTCCGAGTGTGGCCTCTTAAGAAAACCACCTGTTTCGGTTTGGGCACTCGGTTAGTATCACAGCCCACACACAAATCAAGTGACTTGTGTGGCGTATATGTATTCGGTGCCCCTTTTGTACCAATATTTATGTGTTCAAATAAATAAGTGGATAATACCCAAAGTTTAAACTGAATCTGGAAGTGCAAAATCTTATTTACAAAGGAAACTTGACGAATACTAATTGCAAATCAATTGTCATAATGGTTTTAATATCCTAAGAAAATGAATAACAATATGAAATCTGGCTATGGTTACCAGTTAGAAATTAAGTACAATTCAGGATTAGTTTGATCGCTTGAAACAACTGCTTACTTCGAGCTGGATAATAAAGATATATCCCAAAGTTATAATTTAATTTAATGAATGTATTGCAGAAAATTCAAGTTTCTTTCAATTGCAAGTTGATATTTTCCATTGGAATAATGAGCATAATAATTGTGTGTTTTTTATTACCTTTTTCATAATTCCCCACCGCCTATCAGGAAGGTGCCAATATTGGTGATACAGGTATTGTAACAACTGATTCAACTAGTTTCACTGTTGTCGGCAATATATTCATGGGTTCACCATTTGGTAATGGACAAATTGTACCTGGTACAGGTGTTCACTTAAATTCAGTGTTACAATTATTCTCAGAAACAAAATTGAATAAATTTGCTCCTGGACGTCGTCCTCTTATTCCAATTGGACCAGTTTATTTATCAGCTACACATAGAAAATGTGGTATACGTGCAGGTATTGTTTCGATAGATGGATTATGGGGTCTTACAGATGCAGCACAAGTTAGTTAAATGAGCTTTTTTCGAATTATAATTAATTAAGATGAATAAGAAGGGGTTTTTTGTGGAGATTTAGTATTTTCATAGTTGAAAGCGTTAGTCAATTGAAGCTAGACCACCAGGAAAAACTTGGACGGCCGTTTCATCCTATTGTAGGACTCCTCAGCAGTGCGCATTCACGACCTCGCCTTGCGAGATTTGAACCCATGTTAAGTGCTCTGGTGCGAAACTTATAAATCTTGGTTTCGAAGCTCGCGAGGCGGGATTGTGGATACACGCTGCCGCTGAGGAGTCCCACAATAGGACGAAATGACCGTTCAGTGATTCCAGGTTTTCAATGGTGGTCTAGCTTCAATCGATTCATGATCTCAACTGTTTAAATAGTAATGACAGTTCAATTACCTATAAATTATTTATTCAATAGTATATAACATTTTTAAAATAAAAATCTATTACTTAATGAAACATGTTTTGACTTAAATGTAATGAAATGAATTCAGTACATTAAGTGTTATTCATATTTAAATAGACTATTTAGGTAGTTATTCTTGTTTAATGACAGTTTTTATTGGACGCTGTCGGTAATACGAGCTCCGAGTTTTAAGGAGGGGGGTTTATTCTCATGCTTAGATCGATCAATTTTGGTAATTTTATTGTACAAATGTTTTCCTGTGAAATGTTGGTACAGTCAGAATTTACTGTTAAGTAGAAGTTTATGATATATATATACACCATAGTGAGTCTCTCCAGTTCTAAATGCAAAGGCTACCGACATAGTCTTCATAGATGCATATAATACCACTAACTGTTAGAGTGGCATTTCTTCCCCCATTACATTTATAGATACTGTTAATTCTTACAATTTTCGTGAAACGGCATGCTACGTTCTTTGAATCTCGTGTCTAGTAGAAATAACTCTGCATTTTACCATCAAAAGTCACGCTGCATATGGGCTTCACCTAACTACTAATTCGAAATTATGAGAACAATTAAACAAATCTAGGAGTTTTGACTGTTTAAACACATGACGATGCATACTGCAGATATCCTGTCGGAAGATATTGGTGCCCACCATATTTTGTGCAGATTTCACATTATACCCAACATTCTGTGGCGAATAAGTTCATTGTTGTCAGTTTTACATAACGTATCTAATCAGTCAGTCAGCCAGTCAGCTACAACGTAGGACCAAGCACATTTATGCATCGGTCCAAGTTGCCATACCTCGTTAGCACAACAAGATGAACACCGAATTCATAGAAGTAGTTAATTTAGTAGTGGTAATATATAAAAGAAAGTTTGTATATAACGATATAGTATAGGAAGGAAAAAGTTATGAAGCAATTTTAATCTCAAGGTTTAAGGGAAGACCATTGCTGCTACCTTGACGTGGTGGTCGGGCTTGCCTATCGTAATGAACCAATCGAGCTGTACTGGCTGGAACAATCGTTCCTCAAGGTCCTACCATGCCAGGCAGGTCGGTTGAAGAGCGGTAAGACTAAAGTCAGCAAACCAAAGGTCCGAAGGCGAAGTCATACTGCTGACTGTACAGAGGTGTGACGGCAGTAAGGTGTTTCCTTCAGACAACCAGCATAACAGCGATGCTGCCTTCCCACAAGGAGGGCTGGGGTTAGAAAAGGTCGACCCTAAAAATGCACACCTCGCCTTATCCCACGAATATCCGTCTCTGGCGTTAAGGTCCCAACAAGTACAGAGCTGACACAAAAATTCCCCACAAAAAGGTCGTGTATGACCGACCTCAAGCAGTTATCACTTGGACACTGCGGTCACGCTCTCAGGTCATCAAGACCACTTCTAATCCAATTTCCTTTTCAGGTACCTCTAGAAGAACCCTTCCACAATGTGGGCAACCAGGAAGTGATAACTGCCCTCATACTTCTAACAGCACTCAAGACCTACATTCAACGTGTCTAATAGTTCATAATCAGTAATACTCGTATGCAATTTGACACATTTAAGATTTGTATACTTAAAATCATGAGCATCATCTCACCTTTAATTCCATTACATCATGGTAGACTACTAAATGTAAAGCTGAAATATCTTCATTCGTTTTGATGAATCTTCATTGTTATGATAAATTCGCAATTATGTTTTTAGTAAAATGAAATTTATCTATGAAATTCAATTATAATACCAAATACACTGAATTACATAACATTAGTGACCGATTGATGTAAACATCTCAATGATGTGGCACTGAATGACGCTGGTTCTAATCTCAGGAAATTGTAAAAGTGCCTTGTTGATAGATGAGTGTTAACTAACGCATAATCAAAATCTATAGCTCTCTAGTTAATCGCTCACTACACAAGCTAGAATAAAATCTCCTAAATTCAGACATTATAAAGTTTATGATACTTCATTTTATGAACTGATTATTAATATAAGGTATTACAGTCTTAGTATCAAGCAAAAGATAGGGAACTTATGTTATGTAGCTAGGAATCAATGTATTCTTAGCAAATATGTTTGTGATCATTATCATTTTAGCCTAGTCGGTTGAAGTTTTATGTTATATCCCATCTATTCAAGTCTCTTAAAGTTTTATCATGACAGTACTGATCATAATGTCAACTTATAGTTTGTACGACTTTCCCCCTAAATTACGTGCTACGGCCGAGAGTGTGGGAGAGTTAGCTATCTCTCGAAATGCTCTCACATGGCCACGTGCATACAACCACTGCTAGGGAAATCCTACTCACTGTCTTTTCGTGACAGGGGTGTTGTTTACGAAATTGAGAGGATAGAAAGCGAATGTCCGGTGTTTTAATGCGGATAATAGATACAGAGGATCCATTTAGGAGAGTTAAAAAACCATGGTTCCCAACCATTAGTGCACATGGGCTCCAGGATCCTGAACGAACAAATGGAATATGAACCAATTATTGGTTACCGGCTACCATGGGACTGCATATTGTGACGTTGCTCCACCGCCTTGTAGACTAGACTTTTAGGTCGAAGGCTCTGTGTGTGGTCTTCTAATAAAACCATCTTATTCGGTCTAGGCACCTAGACATTATCACAACCCACACACATATCAAGTGACTTGTGTGGCGTATATGTATTCGATGCCTCCTTGTACCAATGTTTATATGTTCAAATAAACGGTTTTTAATACAACTTGATAATGAATGACATTCAGAACAGGAATTAAATGATTAAAAATTTATTGAATGAAACAAGTTAACTACTACTAATCACTTGTTCTTTCTTGTATTATCACATTTCACACACACACACATTCATAGGTAATATGTAATGCAGCATTATTTTTACGTGGTACCAAATGTCAACCACCTAAAACACTTCAACAATTTCAATCTATTACTACAATAAATCATAAAAAAGAACAAATTCCTATCTTAAATGATCATCCTCATCATCATCATCATCTATATAGTCCAGCTATTGAAAAAAATTGTATTAATCCTAATTATGCTACTAATAATTTAACAAGAATACATCCAAATTATAATATAAGTAAATTAAGTAGTATAACACTTGAATATTCATTTAATAATGATCATTTAAATTTAATTGAACAATTAAAACAATTAAATTATAGTGATATTCAATTATTATTAATAAATCAATGGCCTGGACGAGTATTTTTAATTGGTTGGAATGGTTATCATATGATTAATACAGGTGATAATCATTCATTTAATAGTAAAACATTATATACATTTTAAAAAAAAAAGAAAAGAAAAGAAAAAAAAAGAGAAAAGAAGGAAGGAGAAAAAAAAAAGAAAAATTGTCTTTTTTTTTGTAATTTTTTCTTCTCTTTGCATTTCTCTTTTTTTTGGCTTTTTGTTTAGCATTTCATTGTTTCTGTAGTTTTTTTTTTGTTGTTTTTTGTTACCATCAATAATAGTAATAATAATCATCATTTAAGTTTGCAAATGGCTGTGATTAACTTGATCGATTTTCTTTTACCTTATCTTATTACGTCATCATCATCAACATCATTGTTGTTGTTGTTCTTTTTTTATTTTTGTTTTCGTTTTTTTTCTTTTTTTTCTATGGAAAGTATTCTCTTTATTATTATTATTATTATGAATTATATATATCTATATATGTATATGTATATGTGTTTACATAATAATAACTATTACATATCTGTGTATATGTTTCTATTTTTGTTTGTTTGAAAGTAATAAAGATTTATTATATATATTGTGTTCAATTTTTACTTTTGTTATTTCAATATACACTTACTTACATAAGCCTGTTACTCCCAATGGAGTATAGTTCGCCGCCGCCGAGTAGCATTCTCCAATACACTTTGTACTAGGCCTTCCTTTCTAGTTCTATTCAATTTTTGTTCATCCTTCTCATGTGTGTCTCAATTTTTCGGTGTAATGTGTTCTTTAATCTTTCTCTTTTCCTTTGGATTTGAGGATTCCATGTGATGACTTGTCTTGTGATGCAGTTGGATAATTTCCTTAAATGTGTGTCCTATCCACTTCAAGCGCTTCTTTCTGATTTCTTCCTCTATTGGAATCTGGTTTGTTATCTCCCACAGTAACTTGTTGCTGATAGTGTCTGGCCATCGGATCTGAAGTATTTTGCATAGACAGCTGTTAATAAACACTTGTATCCTCTGGACGACGGCTTTCGTAGTTCTCCAGGTTTCCGTTCCATACAGTATAACTGTCTTGACATTTTAAGCAAAGATGGACAGTGGCTAGCAGTGGAATCCAAGACGCGCATTTCGTCTTATTTAGGACTCGTCAGCTGCATGTACCTGCATCTCAGAGTTGATGTTCACGATGGGACTCGAATCCAGTACCTTTCGCTTCAAACGCCATCACGTTATCCATTCGGCCACTGAGCCCTAATAGCCACGTGCTTGTGTAGTAGGGTTTGCTTACCATGCTTGTGAATTTAGGCTATATCGAGGCAATACGCACAGTATGCACTTATGCCAGTTGGAGACTGACCAGTTGCAGTCCCAAGACATCAATGGGAATATCCAAACAAACAATACTAAGTGTCTTGATATTTGTATTGAGAATTCTGATCTTGGTGTTTGTTGACAATTGTTTTGAGTTCCAGATGTTCTTCAACTGTAGATATGCTGCTCTTGCTTTGCCGATCCGCACCTTCACATTTGCATCAGATTCACTGTGTTCATCAATGATGCTGCTCAGATATGTAAAGGTTTTCACATCCTCCAAAGCTTCTCCATCAAGTGTAATTCGATTGGTGCAACTTCAACATACATAAAGAAACTGAAATTGATGTCATTTTTAAATCGATATTGGATAGACTAAATGTTTAATATCAGGATGGGGGGTTTGTACAGATTACAGTGATTTTGATAATTGAAATCATGAGTCAATCTAAGCTAGACTACCATCGAAAACCTGGAAGCACTGGACGACCATTTCGTCTTGATATTAGAAATCAAAGATCCTGGGTTTGAGTCCGGCATGTCGGATCGTGGATACTCACTGTTGAGGAATTCAATCCCATACTAGGACAAAACAGCCATCCAGTGCTTCCAGCTTTTCAATGGTAGTCTAGCTTACATTGACTCATGAATTCATCAAATATTTAATTGAAATTCATTATCACACTTGACAACCAAAGGACAAGTATGTTGTTCAATTATATGATGGGATAAAAAAGGCAAAATCAAATTTTGATTCGTTGTTATATTTGGTTAACATTACTTCCGTTTATTTCATTCAATATAATGATTATTCAATGTGATACGTTTGTTCAAGATACGATATTCTTCTATTAAATTACCATGAACTATGGTCATCATGATACACAGTATGTGATTTATAATAACTTTGAGTGCTTCCATGTTTTCCTTGCTGGTCTATCTTCAACTGACTCATGCTTTCAACTATGAGAATATAACTTTGAGTATTTTTGTATATGTGATTTCATTCTAATTAATAGTTAAAATGGGTGTGCAATCAGTATGTATTTTGACTCGGATCGTCGTGTTTTGACATTAATAAGTCTTCAGTTGTACCAGTTTTAGTGTTCTTACTTTCCGTGGTTTCTCGTTTTACGAGTAGAAGTTATAAGCGATTCTGACATAACATTTAGCGATCAGTCATAACACTCAGCAGTTTACTCCGTTTTGCTTTATGCCTGTGAAACCTAAGCTTTAGAAATTGAGGATATTTTCAAGTTACTATTGTTCGATCATAGGTGGGTTTGAAGCATTAGTTGCGTATGCTGGGACCACTGAGATCATTGTGATCAGACACAGAGCACTAGTTAAGGGTGACAAATCGGTTGATTATGTGATGAATCTTCATTGATTGTGGTTGGAACATTTATTATGTATACCTAGTCACCGCCTACCTCGACAAGCGATCCTTAGTTAGTGTAGGAGTAGGTCCGAAGAAAAATATGAGAAACTACACCAAGATGTGACATCAGTTCATTAAGTCACTAAATATCGTACTGAGTTGTCTAGTTAGATGCAGACTACCTAGTTTGTATCTGTGTAATTGCCAAAATCAATTGTTGATGTTGAATGACATGGTTCTGAATCGTTCACAATGGTGCAGATTCATTCTTGGCTTAAATTATATCATTCACAACGTATAACCTGGGACTTATGTACATCATTTCAAGTTGCCATATTCTATCAGCATAGAGAGATGAAATTGTCATTTACATTTAATAATACGTCTTGCCAGACTACTTGTTTGTGCTTGTTCAGACTTGTCAATAAGACTTAACGAAAAACACTAAATCTCCTCTATGGAGTACAATATGGTTAATGTCATGGTTCATCACATGATGTCTGGTCTGTTTTTCTTATATATATATATATAGACACGATTTTAGGCGCACAGAAACAAAGTGTTACATATGGATGTGCGAACACATATACTGTACTTCTCAAGATATGTAACTACATATAGTCGTACTAAAAGGATAACGAATTTCACAGTTGTTAGATCGAAATATAGTGATTCCAAACAAATCAGTATGAAGAAAGAAACCAACTAGTTCGAAAAGCGATGTGTACGTGGCCTATCCAAAAATTTTCACAACTTCAATACAGTAAACGAGACTACTTGTTCCCCTTCCTTTCCTGCTCCGCTAACTAGTGTAAAAAGATGAATTTGACAACTGAAACTTTCTTGATGATAACCCTATTCATCTTAATCGTTATTGCTTTTCTTTCTCATAAGTTGCATTTGAAGATTACACATCACTGATACCTTCCTACTTTAGTATCGTGATTCCCTTGGGTTTACTTGAAAATGAACCATCCGCCTGTGTCGTCAGTTTTTAATCACAGTAGAACATATGAGCTCCGATTTTGAATAGTCTGACTTTCATTGGTACCATTTTTTATGTGTAGTTCTTTTTTAGCATCAGATACAGGGTTGTTCTCATTCTGTGACCTATGAAAAATTCCTCTGACGATTTCTGATATAGTAGTACGTTGTTTGGTGTTCATTTATACACTAATAAAACATTGTGCAATATACTGATGACTATCCCCTCTGCCTTTAATTTTAGTAATATTCTTTTGAAGGTGTCTACAAACCATTTTCCCTATCCATTCGATTAAGGATGGTATGACGGTAAGGGTATATATTAGATAAATTGACAGTGACAGAACTTTTAAAGATCTCTAGCGGAAAATTTCGATGCTTTGTCTAAAACTTCAGTATTTAGCACTCCCTTTCGAAAAAATTCACCATCAGCATCTGGGAGTTTTTGATGGAAACACGATGAAGATTCCTGATTATTTTGGAAACTCACCAATCAGAACTAGAAAAGTGATACCCTTTTTACGGGTCTGGAAAGTTGATGTATATTTGTAACTGTAGTTTTCCTGATTTGTTAGTGTCACTAAGCAATGCTTTTTGATTATTTTCCATCTCCACTGGATAGTACTGGACAAATAATTTACAGCATAGTCTTCTGTTGAAATCGCAGCTATGACTGTTTCTTCCTCGACAGTTGGACAGTCACTGGGTTCACAAGGCTTTTTTATAAGGTGGACACAATATTTAGTGGAACATCAGATAAACGAAGCCGATCAAACCAATTAAGTTCGAGTAAACTAAGATCAACTTGTGTTACATAACATACTCCTGTGAACGCAAAATCTTGAAAATGCGTGGTGCGCTACCGTGGGAGCTGTTTGGACTGGTTTTTTTTCGATTTTAGGTTTTACCATTACTTGCCAAAGCTTCTGTGACTTAATGGTAGTGTTCAGAGTGGTATCTAGCTACAACGGATATGGATACTCATGAACAGTCACTGTGAAGAACTTTCTCTTGATTAGGCTAGTGATTTTACACATTAATGGCAAACTTGGATATCTTCCGATAGTTTAAGCTGTGGACTTGTTTTGACGTCTAGACCACTAACTTGTTTGACCCTTACTAATCATATTCGTATTCATCAGCCTAACAAAATTTCAGTAATTCCTGATACATTTACTAATCATCAGGCAATTTTCTGCTAGCGAACATAAGAAATATCTAAAATTATATTTTCATTGTTGAAAGCGTGAGCCAATTGAAGCTAGACCACCAATGAAAACCTGGAAGCACTGAACAGTCGTTTCGTCCTATTGTGGGACTCCTCAGTGGCAGTGCGCATCCACGACCTCGCCTCGCGAGATTCAAACCCAAGACATACGAGTCTCGCGCCAGAGAACTTAACCTTTAGACCACTGAGCTGGCCGGCATCC